GGCGAGGCAGGACGAGCACGGGAGGGACGGTGAGACCAGACGTGCGACGGAGGAGTCGGGTCTGGAGACAGAGGAGGGGACACAGGAGGGGAACGAGGGGGGAGACGGTCCGCGGACGAGTCCGGCGGAGGGAAAACAGGGCCGTAGACAGGAAGAGGAGGAGACGGTCGGGGAGGAACCGACGCAGGGTCGGGGGACGGCAGGCCGAGCAGGCGAAGGGCTGACACCGGCGGGGACCGCTGCTGCGGCGGCACAACGGCGACACCGGGACCGCAAGCTGCTCCTCGGCTACCCCCGGCACTCTCCACACCAGCACCCCCAGAGGGACCACCCCCAGGGGGACCACCCCCAGGGCTACCGGGACGAGCACCCCCAGAGGCAGCGAACGGGTGCTGCGACGGCGGCGGCGGCGGCGGCGGCAACGACGGCTGCAGCGGCGGCAGAGGCGGTGGAGGAGGGGACTGGTGAGGGGACGCCAGGGGAGGGGCGGCTGGCGAGGACTGCACAGGAGGGCCACCAGAGTCAGAAGACTCCTCAACCGGGTCCACCGACGGAAGGGGGGTGACGTGGGACACACCAGAGGGGGCGGGACGGGGAGGAGGAGGAGGAGGGGCAGGGACTACCGGGGAAGGAGGGACCAGGAACAGGGGGGGGGTAACCGGGGGACCACGGTGGGGGAAGCGACGGTAGTAGGAGACGGACTCGTCAAAGGTGACGTCACGAGAGTGAAAGAAGCGGTGAGACGGCGGGTGGTAAAAGTGCCAGTCGGACGCGTCAAGGGGAAAACCGAGGAAGACGCAGGGAAGGGTGCGGGCAGTGAGCTTGTCCGTGCCGGAGGCACGAACGTGAGCAAGGCAGCCCCAGACGTGGAACGCAGACGCGTCACCAGGAGACCCAGTCCACAGACGGGTCGGCGAAACCTGCGGCTGCTGAGGGTGCGGCCACAGGTTAAGCTAGTGAGAAGCGTAGCGCACAGCGAACGGCCACAGAAAATGGGGTGCACCGGCATGGATCATGGAGGTGCGAGCCACCTCCATGACCAAACCGATGCGTCGCTCAGCGACCCCATTCTGCTGTGGGGAGTCCGGTAGGGTGAACGTCTGGGTGATGCCCTCCGCACGACAAAAGCGACCAAGGACACCTGAGGCAAACTCGCCACCACGGTCTGAGTGAAGACGCAAGACAGGGAGACCGCGGTGGACACGGGCAGAGACAAGCCAGGGGATGAGAGCGCCAGGCACGTCAGCCTTGCGCTCCAGGGGAAAGACTGTGGTGTAGCGAGTGAAGTCGTCGACGAGCACAAGGAAGTAGCGCTCTCGACGCGGCCCAGGGACGGGGGCGGGGCCCCAGACGTCCAGGTGCAGGGTCTGCAGCGGCGCGGCGGTAGGGGGAAACGAGGAGTGAGGGGCACGGCGAAGCCGACCCTCGACGCAAGGCGTGCAAGGTGGGGCTGGGGAGGAGGGAAACGCAGGGAGAGAACCTGGGAGACCAAGGACAAGACCGTGCTGGGACATGTGACGCAGACGCGGGAGCGCAGGGTGACCTAGGCGGTGGTGCCAAAGGAGGGTCGGGTGAGTGAGAGACCGACAGGAGCAGGCAGCAGCAACCTGGGTGAGCGCTCCAGCCGGGGGGGTCACGGTGTCCAGAGTGAACAGGCCAGACACCGGGTCCCGGGGGAACGTGGACAGGGGGGCACCAGTGGTGGCCTCGGTACAGACAGCATACCGCTCGTGACCAGGGAACGTAGTGGTGACGCCAAGGTCCTGGAGGCAGCCGACACCAACTAGGTTCCTGGAGAACGAGGGGATGTGCAGACCTGTAAGAGAGCCCGAAGGAACCGCCGGACAGGGAAGGGTGGTGGAACTGCGGGCGACTACCGGACCGCCAGAGGGGTCAGCGAGAGAAACGGCAGCAGGGACGGAAAGCGGCGTCAGGGTGGTGGAGTCGCGGAAGAAATACCGAGAAGCGCCAGAGTCCAAGGTGAAGGAAAGCGAAGCAGAGGCGTCTGGCGACGGAACGACGGCGGAAGCACCAAGACTACACAAAGCTGGGGATCCTACGCCTGATGCAGCAGGGGAGGCTAAGCTAGGCACACCTACACTAGGCAACAGTGAGTAATAAGCTGGAAGCACACTAGAGTCATCAGCATACATCACATGCAGAGCAGAAACAATGGCATCCATGTCCATATCAAAGATCTGAATCTTACGACTAAGCAAACTGTGCCAGTCCGAGAGGTCTGGCAACGGGTCGAAGCGCTGACGAAAGAGGTCGTCAAGGCGACGAAAACAACGGGGAGTGGAGTGACCGATCTTACCGCAAACGAAGCCGCGGCGAGGACTGGTCTGGATCTGGTACTGACAGCGCCCGCCGCCAGAGCTACCACTCGACACACCACCACGCGCCCGGCCACCGCCAGCGCCGGGCCACCCGGGCGGGAGGACACTCGTCTGCCGCGTCTGCGACGGCTGCTACGGCTGCTGCGAAGGCTGCGACTGCGGCGGCTGCTGCGGCTGCTGCAACTGCAGGGGCGGCGGCTCAGCTGAACTGGGCAGGGTCCCCTCGTCCGCTCCAGCACCAGACGACCCGACCCCACCACTACCCCCTCCCGCACCCCCGCCTCCGCCTCCGCCGCTCCCAACCTTGGGGCGGCGGCCCTTCCCCGAACGAAACTGCGCGGCAGCAGCAGCCTCAGCCACTGCGACAGAGCCGTCGGAGAAGGTACACTGGGCGGGGGCACAACCCTGAAAGATAGGGACAGGCACGACACCGCTCGCCTGGGCGATGGAGCGGTGACGGGTCTCTATCACAGTCAGGGTGTCTACAAAGTCAGTGAGGGTGAGGTCGGCGGGGTGAAGGCTAAGGAAGCGGTCGCGGGCGACAGCAAGGCGGTCAGGGAGGCGGGTGGCAAGCAGGTAGAGAGTAGAGGTAATGGGCGGCTGGTGGGCTCTAAGCTGTGCGTCAGTGCAGGCGGCCCGCCAGGTCTCCTCTATCGAGCGCAGGTGGGCAGCGAGGTCAGAGACAGTGGGGAAAGAGGCAAGGTCAGGAAAGAGCATCGGGAGGATCAGGCGACCCACCGAGGCAGCCGGAGGGGTGGAATAGCGCTTGATGACAGCATCTAAGTATGCCTGAGCAGTAGTGAGGGACCTAAAGCGAGGACGCTCGGACGGGGGGAGGGCATTGCTAATGGCAAGCTGGGCGACAGCATCGCGAGAAAGCCAGACAGAGCGCGCACGGGCAGTGGCAGCAGTAGACTCACGCTCAGTGGGTGTGGGGTCAGCGGGCAGAATAGCAGGGGGGTCTGGGCAGGGGAGCGTACCGTCAAGATGTGCAGAAAGCGGTTCACCATCCTGCCGCTGGCCAGTGAGTTGGCGGCGGAGGTCGGCAAGCCACGCCTCGAACTCTAGGGGCTGACCTTCAGCGTCGAAGCGAAGCTCCGCCGCCATCAGGAACAGTCCAGTGCGGTGCAGGGCAGTGCAGCTAGGTGGAGTGCGGTGCAGTGCGGTACAGTGCGGTGCAGTGCGGTGCAGTGCGGTGCAGTGCGGTGTAAGGCAGTACAGTGTGGTGCGGGGCGGTACGGCGCAGGGCAGTGCAGGGCGGGGTGGGGGGGAACCGTATCAGTGAGGAGGACGGGGCCGGGGCAGCGGGGCCGGGCAGGTGCGACAGGGCCGGGCGAGGGCGACGGGGCCGGGCGGGCGCGACGGGGCCGGGCTGGTGCGACAGGGCCGGGCCGGGGCGTCGGGGCCGAGCGAGCGCGACGGGGCCGGGCAGGGGCGACGGGGCCGGGCGGGTGCGACAGGGCCGGGCCGGTGCGACGAGGCCGGGCGAGCGGGACGGCGGCCGGGCGGGTGCGACGGGGCCGGGCGGCTGCGACGGGGCCGGGCAGGGTGCGACAGGGCCAGGCGGGCGTGACGGGGCCGGGCTGGTGGGACGGGGCCGGGCTGGGGCGACGGGGCCGGGCGAGCGCGACGGGGCCTGAAGGCGGACAGGGGCCCAGGAGGGGCGCTACGGGGCCCAGGTGGGGCACGACGGGGGCCCAGGAGGGGCGCTACAGGGGCCCAGGAGGGGCGCGACGGGGCCCAGGAGGGGCGCTACAAAGCCCAGGAGGGGCGCGACGAGGCCCAGGAGGGGCGCTACGGGGCCTGGGAGGGGCGCGACGGGGCCCAGGAGGGGCGCTACAGGGCCCAGGGAGGGCGCGACGGGGCCCAGGAGGGGCGCTACGGGGCCCAGGAGGGGCTCGACGGGGCCCAGGAGGGGCGCTACGGAGCCAAGGAGGGGCGCGACGGGGCCTGGGAGGGGCACGACGGGGCCCAGGAGGGGCGCTAGAGGGCCCAGGAAGGGCGCGACGGGGCCCAGGAGGGGCGCTACGGGGCCCAGGAGGGGCGCGACGGGACCCAGGAGGGGCGCTACGGGGCCTGGGAGGGGCGCGGCGGGGCCCAGGAGGGGCGCTACAGGGCCCAGGGAGGGCGCGACGGGGCCCAGGAGGGGCGCTACGGGGCCCAAGAGGGGCGCGACGGGGCCCAGGAGGGGCGCTACAGGGGCTAGGAGTGGCGCGACGGGGCCTGGGAGGTGCGAGACGGGGCCTGGGAGGGGCGCGACGGGGCCCAGGGGGGGGCGCGACTGGGCTAGGGGGCGAGCGGAAGCGGTAGGTGGGGGGGGGATCCTACCTACGCGTGATACCATATCAGAAATTGAAGAAGTGTGAATAGAGTGAGAGTACACACAAATATACCTAAGTGTTGTACCCTCTAAGAGGCTACCCTATACAGTCTATACAAACATAACAAATACACATATTTGACACATACGTAGAAGATGTGGCATGCACATGGACCAAATCGTTGGGGACGCGATCAGATAGTAGAATGGGACTCCATACTCAGAACAATGCCCTGTCACAAGTACAGTTGAATTCAAATCAAAAATTGCATATGCACATTCCATAACTCCTGGGTGCTGTATTTTTTTTTGCCTTAAATTACACCCAACCCAAAATTTCGTTGCATTTTTATTAACACCGTAGGGTGTTTTATACGGGGGATTACAGTATCAGGAGAGGATGAGGCTCAGTAAAGCAACTGGCGGGGCAAACCTCGGCTCGGCTGTGAATAGAAGCACTCATGATTACGCGCTAAAGCAAGCCGCAGTAAGGAATCCATCCTCTCAGGGAAAGAACCCGATAATTGAAGCTGCGCTAAAGACAAAAATCAAACGTGAGCTGCCTTGCCTATAGCCATGTGGGGGGACAAGAACAGACGCATGGCACCTGTAAGCCTCAGTGCAACATCAACAGCATGGAAAAATGCTCGTGTTGCCAAGCATATCCCCATCCCAGTTATTATTGGGCTTCAACTCGGTTGTTCCTCCATGCTCAAACAAACTAGTGGAGGAGTGCACGTCCGAGTTAAGGCCATCATTAACTGCGACATGGATAAAAGCCCCATCACCTCCCGGGGCATCCGCCATGTTGGGCCACGGAGCAAGCGCCGGGCTCAGGAGAGCTGGTGACACGATTAACGGCAAGGCAGGACCTGGCTGTAAGTGTGAGGGGGCAGCAGGTATGCCAGGTGTTGAAGGGATTAACCGCTCCTGCAGCAAGGCAGGACCTGGCTGTAAGGGTGACGGGGCAGCAGGTATGCCACCTGTTGAAGGAATTAACCGCTTTTGCAGCAAGGCATGGCCTGGCGGTATAGGAGCCTGCTTGAGCGAGGTGCTTGGGTTAGAGCGCATGTGCCGCGCACCATGAGAGTTATTACGACTGAAAATGGAGAAGCCAGGGTCCAGTGGCTGTTGAGAGTCGGGAGACAGCAGAACTGCTTGGGCCAGAGGCTGGGCCAGTGGCTGGGCCAGAGGCTGGGACAGTGGCTGGGCCAGGGGCTGGGACAGAGGCTGGGACAGAGGCTGGGACAGAGGCTGGGACAGAGGCTGGGACAGAGGCTGGGACAGAGGCTGGGACAGTGGCTGGGACAGTGGCTGGGACAGTGGCTGGGACAGTGGCTGGGACAGTGGCTGGGACAGAGGCTGGGCCAGAGGCTGGGCAAGAGGCTGGGCCAGAGGCTGGGCCAGGCATCGCGGTGCTGGCTGGTGCAATGAAATCGAGGGAATGGGTTGGAGCTCTAGGCGCTGAGGAACGACCGGCCGCTGCTGGTGCCTGTGCGTCTGAGGAACTCCCTCCCCCCTCCCTCCCGGCACGATCGCCCACTCTGGCAGGGCTGGCCTTTTAGTCGCCTCGAATGCCCCAGCACCTGTGACTGCCTGCGCCCGTCCCTGAGGCTCACTCGCGAGGGGGAGGCGGGAGAAAGTACACGGGGTTAAGGCGGATGGCAGGCGAGGCATGGGCACAGGGGGCCCAGGCCCAGGCAACCACTGGTGAGGTGCAGGGGTGGGGAGGGGAAGAGAGTCGCTTTCTGGCATCGCACTGCATGCGGTCATGGGCGGGATCAGCTCCTGCCTTGCAGAAATATTTCCAACTGAGAACATCTGTCCAAGGCAGGTGCTCAACCCCCCCCCAGCGGAATCAGGTAGGAGAGGGAGCTGGTTGAGCAATGGAGCTGGCAGTGCTGCAACCTGTATGATGAAGCCAGGGTCCTGGCTGCTGAATCCCAGAAACCCATCGTCTGGAAGGGCGCTCTCCGACTCCACGCGAGGCCACACCACCCGCTGCTGCCGGCTGCTCCCTCCGCCCCGCTGGTGGCGATGCGCCTCCAGCAGCAGATCATCGAGGAGACCGCTCCCCGACCCCTGCAGCTGAAAACGCTCCTCCAACGACTGGGAGTGCCTCAATATGCAGCCGGCCCACCTTTCAGCTCGGCCTGGCAGCAGTGGGTCAGGCGTAGGGCCTCGCCAGTCCTCCGTGGGTCGCTTCATGGGCAGGCTGAGGGCAGCTGAACTGGAGATCATCGCTCCACTCGCCACTGCATCGGCATCAGAAGCACGGTCACTGGTCGCAGCAATATTGGACACAGCAGCGTTGGACACAGCAGGAGCGTTGGAGTCAGCAGCGGCACCAGGGAGAGACGCACCCGAGAGAGAGGCACTGGAGAAAGAGGCACCGGGGAAAGCAGCATTGGAGGCAGCAGCAGCGCTGGCAGACGCGAGGCTCGCCTGGGCTGTTAGTGGGCGCGCATTGGGTGAGAGGAAGACGCTCCTGCACTCTTCAAACGACAGCCCGCCGAAAGTAAGAGCAGGCGATTGCGACCCGGGTGAACCCACGCCACCCTGCTGCCCCTGCTGCTGCGGCTGCGGTTGGTGCCAGTATTGCTGCTGCTGGTGCTGGTGCTTCTGCTGCTGATGCTGCTGCTGCTGGCCGTCACGCCTCAGCAGCAGCTGGCTGTGCGCCTCCAAGGCTATGTGCTGAGGAAATGCAGCGCCTCCCAGCTGCTCTCGCAGGAGATTCTGCTGAAAGCGTTGGACGAACTTCCTGCCACCAGATAAGCCCACAGAAGAGCCGGTCAGAAAAGCTGACTTGGCAGTACGCTGAGGTTACCTCACATGGAAGGAAAGCTGATGGGAAAGGGCCACTCAAGAAGTGCTCGGCTCAGGCGTGTTGGCGCACTTCCATTTGAAAAAAAAGTGGCATGTAGGGTTACCTTCTGAGGAAGATGTAACGATTACAGCACGACTTGTTGTTTCTCTTCAGCTGACCGCTCCTCCCCAACTCTCCCCACTGCCTCGTGCCGCAATGCAGCGCATGGCGCAGCAGAACCGCGTCCTCCTGCCGTTAGTGGTGAGGGAGTGGGGAGACAACGTTGAGACCCCGGAAAATGCCTCGTAGAAACGAAACTCGGACGCTGTTGAACTCTGAGCATGGCTCAGCACGGAACGGCGTCCTCCTGCCATGGTGAGTGAGTGTTGGAGCAAAGTCCACGGCAGGAGATGCCGGAGCCGTCGACGCACATGCCGCATGTCACGGCGCCCTCCTGTCATAAACACTGCACGCCTTGAAGGTATCCAGGCCAATGAGAGGCGTGCAGCAGCGCAGAATATCCACCGGCATGCTCTCAAATCTTCTGAGGCACCTACGGAAGGCGGCAATCCCATCTCCCAGGCTGGACATCCGGCAGATATTTGGAATAGTCTCTGCTCGCGAGAAAAGCGGAGCGCACGCGGCGGCATTGAAGGGACCAGCAGCCTGACGGCGAGTGTACTACGACTCGCACCAGTGGCGCTCACCTCTGCGGACCACGGCTTGACGGCGAGCGACGAGGATTGGGATTGGGACGGCGAAGTGATCGCTTCTGACGAATGCGGCATGGCGGCTCTACTGACTAGTACTAGATAGCTGAGAATGGCTAATTGCTAAAGCGAATCTTGCGCAAGCCATCACAACGACGCTCTGGCTCTGATAACTGTTTTGACATTTTGGCCTCGGCACGGTGCCGTCTAGTGAAAGGCCAACACTACGGCACAAGCTCCGTTCAAGGCTATGCGGCTTTCGCCTCTTGAGGGTTTCACCTGAAAGGAAATGCTGCGCTTCCATCCGCGGCCCACATCCACCTGCACACCGACTTCGACTCTCGCGCATTCGCACTGTCAGCGATGGGCGCACTCGCGATAGGAGAACCCTCTAGCCTAGCCAGTATGGTTACTGTGATGATTGCCTGTGGGCGGAGGAGAAATTGACGGCATTCTGCCTCCTGAGCTGGAGATCGCATGCGGCAAACCAATTGGACTTGGAACTGTAATGACCTTTCTTGCAATGGTAGGAGGCACGTGATGACCACTCAGAAATGGAAAACCATTTTCCTCACACAGATCAACTTCCTCCGAAGCTGCCACGCCCACAGGCTGGCGCAACGAACAGTCAACAAGACGGAACACTCCAAGAAGTGAATCAGCGCACACTGAAACCCTAGAGCGGTACCATTGTTGCCCGAGTCAGTCAGGTCACGGTTCACTCACAAACGCTTCCCGCATCCCTTCTGTTTCTAGCACGGGCAACCGCACCCCGTTTTGAAGCACATGGTGTGTACTGTTTCCACTACACCGGCAGTTATGGAGCTTGCCTGCCGCGAAAAAAACCCAGTGGCCCGTCCAGCCTCTCCGCAAACCACTTCGCCAGGAGCTAGTGCGAAATTGGGCACCAGCGTCGGCTGAGTCGCAACGATCCTGCGGGCTGGTTTGTGGGCTGTGTTACCCTGCTTTCTGATTCTGACCACTTCCGAAAAATTCGTGACCAGGTGCAAGAAATCGCAAAAAAATCAAGGGGGTACCGGCTGTTGATAATCGAACAAATTTAGCCCCCCCTTCCCCCAACCCAACATCCCGCGTATGACAAAAAGGGTAACCCAATAACAACACTTCCAGTCCCATCTGCCCGTTGCGAGGTCCGCGAAATGAAAATGGCATTTTCAGTCCCCGCCACCCCAAAACCTGGAGTGACTGGCTCGGGCAACAAGGGTACTACAGAACACCAAGACCCCAGGATCAAACATACTACAATCCGTAGGAAGCTGAATCGACAAACAACCCTCATCATCACCCCTAGAGCGAATTTACTGTACCGACCATGAAGCTCAGTGCTGCGGGCAGAAGCAGGCCACTTGGCATCGGCCAAGTGTACCCGTGCCCTTGACCGTGGGACGAATGGTTCAACAGCACCGCTGGGTTGGCCCCACAGCTCGTCATCCCAAAGATTCGGGATTGCACACGTGTCAATCATCGAGCTGTTTGGCTGTTGGGCATGCTGGTCCTTCCTTTTGGGCCACAGTCATCTGGGTGTGACTGATATGTGGTGGCATGGCGATGTGAGGTGAAGAGAGTGCTTGACCACCATTTCTGATCCGTGCACACTGCAGTCCCCTTCATTGCCTGCCTTCAATGCGTTACACAGATTCCGTATCTTATTACGGGATAGTACTAGTCTCAAAATCGATTAAAATAGAAAAACGCACACAATAAGGACGCATTACATATCTGAATGCTAATTACCTCAGCTTTGGTATGACAAGTAAGGCAATATTCCATTCGTATAGCTAATGACATCAATCGCTTGGTCATTAAAACCCCGATGTATCTGTAGTATATGCGCAGATGGTGGCATCCCAGGAGGGCACATGGCTGTATCTGGAAAGCCAGAGGCTTCATGCCACGAGTTGCTGACAGTCATGCTCCCATCCCAGGTACCAGTCTCGGGCTTCACGTCAGTTGCTCCTCCCAGCTCAATCAAATGAGTCGAGGCGCACACATTTGGGTCAAGGCCAGGATCAGCCATGGCATGCAACAAAGCCCCATCATCTCCCAGAGCATCGGTCATGCCAGGCCAAGGAACAGGCGCCTGGTTTGTGAGTGCTGGTGAAGGGATGAGGGGCTCCTGTGGCAGGGGAAGGCGTGGCTGTAAGTGCGACGGAGCAAAAGGCACGCGAGATGCTGAAGGGATATATGGCATCTGGAGCAGGGCCCGGCCTGGTCGTGTGGGAGGATGAATGTGTGAGCCGCTAAGGACCGAGGGCATGCACCCTGCACCTGGAGGGTTAGTGGTTGTGTCAAGGGCCAGTGGCTGTTGGGAAAGAGCAGACAGGAGAAGCGCCTGTGACGGTGCCAGAGCCAATGACTGTTCTAAAGGCAGTGGCTCTGGTGGTGGTTGTGTCAGTGGCTCTAGCAGCGGCTCTGGCAGCGGCTGGTGTGATGAGAAAGAGGGGTTGAGCCCCTGCTGCAGAAACTGTCGACCATTCAGCTGCTGGTGGCGTTTCTGTGGAGGAGTGGTTCCTTCCACACCCACTCCTTGCCCCAGCGTGTGCATATACGGCTGCACTTGAGCAACCCCCTCCCCCGCCCCCCCTTGTTCCAGAGCCGACTTTAGCAGTGCTGGCTTGGGAAGGCAGGCTGCCAGCGCCCGTCCCTGAGGCTCAGTCGCCAAGGGCAGGCGGGAGGCAGGCGCAGGCCGGCTCGGGTGAGGCATTGGGGCGTTGAGAAAGAGAGGGTAGGCTTCTTGCGCTGGCCTGCACGCGCCCATGGGCAGGACCAGGTCCTGTGCCGCAGAATCATTTTCTAAGGAGAGCGGCCGTCCAAAGAAGCTGCTTATTCTCTCGGTAACAGAATCGGTCCGAGCAGCAAGTTGGGTGGGCAGAGGCGCTGACAGTAGTGCCTGTGGTTGGGCGGAGAGAGGGGCTGGCAGTGGCACTGGCAGTGGTGCATGTGAAACGTTGAAGTGAGGGTCCTCGCAGCTGGATCCCAACAGCACATCGTCTGGAAGCGCACTCTCCGACCCCACGCGAGCCCACAGCGCTGCCTGCATGCTGCTGCTCTCCCAACCCTGCTGCCGGAAATTGTCTTTTAAGGACTGCGAGTGGCGCAGCGTGCGGCGGGCCCACCCACTCCCAGCCAGATCCGACAGGGATTGGTCAACCATAAGCCCGGCCCAGTCCTCCCGTGCTCGCTTCATGGGCAGGTTGGGGGCAGCAGCACTGGAGACAGCAGCGGCAGCCTTATTGGGGAAAGCGGCATTGAATAACCCAGCACTGGAGACAGAAGCAGCAGCAGCGCATGTGGCGACAATTGGATCAGCAGCAGCAGTGGAGAAAGCAGCTGCGCGGGAAGGAGCACCATGTGAGGGAGCAGTACCAAGGACGACGGCAGATGAGGGGTTGGCATGGGCTGTTGAGAGAGCAGCGGCATGGGAGGCAGCGGCAGCGCTGAAGGCAGCTGCGAGGCTCGCCTGGGCTGTAGGGCGGCGGGCATTGGGTGAGAGGAAGACGCTCCTGCACTCATCAAACGACAGCCCCCCAAAGGTAAGAGCGGGCGACGTCGACCCAGGTGCGCCATCCTGCTGTCGCTGCTGATGGTGGTGGTGGTGCTGCTGGTGGCGCTGAGGGAATGCAGCGCCTCCAAGGTACTCTCTCAGGAGATTCTGCTGAAAGCGCTGGACGAACTTTCTGCCACCAGACATGCCCACAGAAGTTGTGCTCAGAAAAGGTTCCGAGCTGGCGAGCGCTGAAATTATGAAAAACAAAAGCGGCCTGCATCGTCACCTTCTGAGGAAGATGTAGCGGTTACAGCACGACTTGTTGTTTCTCTTCAGCTGACCGCTCCTCCCCAACTCTCCCCACTGCCTCGTGCCGCAATGCAGCGCATGGCGTAGCAGAACCGCGTCCTCCTGCCGTGTGCGGGTGAGTGAGTGGGGAGGAGGATGAGACTCAACACCACAGATATATCAACATTGAGATGACGCAAAGGCGCTCAGCCCCGCGCATGGCGCAACACAACGGCGGCGTACTTCCGCCATGAACATTGGATGAGATGGCACACGGAGTACGGCATAAGAGCCTACACACGGAGCGCGTGGTTAGGTGTGTCTTGTGGAACTCCTCGGCGCTAGTTCTCGAGGTATCTCAAGACGAGTCCGATCCTGCAAAAATCCAGCGAATCTTAGAGAAAGGAAGAGCTGTTCGCGAGAAGAGTAGGAGCGCACGCATGCACTCCACGGGACTACCGGGCTGAGCGGGACTCACCTCTTTGGACCACGGCTGTACGCCGAGCGAAGAGGATTGGGACGGCGAGGCGATCGCGTCCGACTCGGAGGAATGCGGCATGGCGACTCTAGTACTAGTACTACGAAGTTGTTAGCTGAATAACCTAGTTGAACGGCATCAAGAGAAACCACCTACCGATGAAAGATGAGAAAAAAAACAATGAGAGCAGACAGGCTTGCATCATCCCAAAATTCCAGGATCAGAAATACGGAGTAGGTATACAGTAGGTATGGCATAGGTACGTCTGCTACGGAGTAGCCTTGCTATACGAACAACTATACCTACAATATAGGAGAGGTCCACATTTTTGTGATGATCGTCGGCTCTTTGGCTTCGCGGATTCACGTCGGCGTTGTGCGGCCGTACCGTGAGAAGGGCCACGGAACGCGGCCTTTGACGCCTGCACAGGCACTGCTCAAGCCTTGACGTGACGATGGGTTGGCAAAATGGAAAGCGGAAACCAAGTGGCGGCATGGGGCTATGGGAATGAATGCAGGCCCAGTCCCATCCCATGCACTTGGGCAATCTTCCAAGCTACGTACACTCCAGTGGTTGAACAAAGACCCGTCCACTCGGCCTTGCGTGACGCATATGCGGCAGGCCTCTGGAAGTCAGGGTAACTACACTGATTTGTCAAGGAAAACAGGATAAATTTGAGACCTATCCCTGCTTTTGACGCATTCAGAATATCGATACCCGTCCATGGAAAGGCAACCCAAAATCATCCCACGTCCGATTTTCGAGAAGGAGATGGACTCACCCTGTAAAATTTAATGTAAAATTTCGCACCCCTAGAAAAAATTGCTCCCCCTGTCATTGTCAAGAGTGGCATATTCCGAGCTGGTCGAAACTCTGGCCTGCAAAAACAGGCAAAAGATTTAGGGCTACCCAGCCTGGACGAGTTGGATCCCGGGCAGACTCGGATTCTGCATGGTGACCCCTAGGTTATCGAGAGGCCTGATATTCGGTCGTCGCAGCAGTAGTCGTCACATACCGTACACATGATCCCTCTTACAGACATCCGAGCTACTCGCACAAACCGGATAAAGACACAATGACGTATATGCCCTGCTCGTATCACGCAGTGTAAGAGCACATTCACTGTGTAGCATGAAACGCTTCTACTGTTCAAGATATCCTTGAGATTTGAAATCATCCAATGGGAGGCGTCGAAAGGATCAGATTAGTGATTGTTTAAGACTAACGAAAACACTAGCAGTTTTGTCGCCAGCCATTGTCTTGACATTACGCCACGTAAAGAACAAATGTTTTAATGCGGAAGGTTTAGGAGGTTTTAGGTTGGTTAATCTTAAGACACGTCATCTCAAGCCGAAGAGTTAGACTACCGATTGGCGACAACTCATCAGTTGAAAAACAGACTCCGTTTCAGTTGCGATGGGGCAGGTTACCCGACAATTTAGCAGAACAGACGCGCCACTCCAGCCTGATTTATTTGCAAAATTGCGGCCGTTGCCGCCCGAGAAGTGTACAAGCACATTTTGCCCGGCGTTTTGACCAGAGGATACATGCACGAACCGCGCGAACAATTCGAGTGTCTGAATCCAAGAACATGTGTATGTGGGGTGTGAGTGAGGCACGTGAAGAAAGTTCTTCTCGGCCATACAAGAAGAAACAACTTGCGTGTCTGCACAGGTGAGGACCAACGACGAGCAGCTAGTGGCGGCAGTTGCCAGCTCAGTTCTGCAGCTGTGGACAAACAGTTTCCTCAACTGCTCATATGTAAGGGTACCGTAACACAACTGTAGAGAAAAAATATTGTGCACAACAGTGCTGTACAAAAGTTCAGAAAAGTTATGAATTCTACAGAGCACCGAGGCCAATCCAAAACGGAGCAGCAAGTGTTGTTGACCTTCAGTGCGCCCACCGGTCAGCAAACCTGCCTTGACCTTAGGAGCAGAGCAGCAGACTAACGGCGTGTCCCCCGCGTACGTTTTTCGATCAAAACCCTATCCAACAATTTTCGATCGCCATGATTACTTTCTGAATAGAGAAAGGATCTTACCCAACCGCAATGAACCGTACACGCGGGACACACCATCATCATCTCATCCTGATCCGCCCCGCATATACAGGATCAGGGACACACACCAACCGGCCACGATGGTCAGTGACAAGATGAGACGAGACCCGAATGACCAGGCTAGGCTTCCATATAAGCATTAGTCGCAGAGACATGTCAAAACAGTTTCACTATATACATAGTACGTTTGCAAATTACATAGTAAGAAGAAAGAAGGGACACAATTACAAGAAAGCAAGGTCGTGTGGTGCTCCCTTTCAACCAGCACGTTACTTCCATCCTAACAACTGCCCACACCACCACAGCGTCGTCTGAAGCCCATCCCTTGCCTCGTCTTTCACCGCCTTGTTTCACCTTGTGACTTTGGGCTTGACATCACACTAGAATGTTGCAACACATATGAGAAAACGGGCACATGCTATGATCCATCAGCAAAAAATTGATGCCCCCCACCTGACCCGCCCAGACCACTAACTCATGATCGGCCAGAAAGACACCATCAGTCTCAAGGTAACGAATTGACTAGGATAGGGCATACAGGGTAGTTTTGTTCTAAGTGTTGTACTCTCTATGGTATGCTCCTAGCTAGCCTATAAACATATACAAATATATATGTTCACACACCCCCTAGGCTAGACAAAGAGCCTGGCAAGAGAGACAAAGCACAGGACGACACTACTAGTCCAACCTCTGAGGCAAGGGTCCAAAGACCAGTCAGCAAGGGTATAAACAAGACCAGAGCAAACCAGGGCGGCACTACTAGTCCGGCCACTGGAAGAGAAGCCACATGGCCAGTCAAGAGAATATATATATAAAAGAGCAGTAGACAATTAAGGCCCTAGCAAGTGAGGAGCTACAGGAACTAGACCAAGCTATACACCGTTCCGTTGATGATCTTTAGGCGCAAGCGCCTTCATAAAGATATCAGCTGTATTCGCACTGGAAGTCAAGTGTACTACACGGGCCTGGCGGCGTTGCTGTAGCTCGCACTGGAGGAAGTACTGCAGCTGGATTTGCTTCGCTCTGCCCTCGAGTCGAGGCTCCTGACACAGGATGATCATGGCCCTGTTGTCAGCATACACGACCGAGGCAGAGTTAGGCTGCTTACCTAAGTTGGTGAGCAAGAAGGTCAGTCAGCGGACCTCTTGTGCCGCCATGGCACAAGCGTAAATTTCAGCTCAGCGTACGGACCGCTAGGATCTACTGGCTCATCATGGACTGGAGCCGAGAGCCTGTGGTCTACTGGCAGATGTGTGGGCTGTGCGGAGGAGAACTGAAGATCGAACCTCTGAAGGACCTAACGTACCGATTGTTACTGTGTGAGAGTGATGGTGTGCGCTGCTCTGTCCCAGAGCAGGCCAATGTAGCAGTGCAGCTCTCCTAGGTTAGTGCAGGTGTGTCTCTTCAGCAGCTCGACCTTCATGGATGTAGTGCGCCTCTGTCTGCAGTAGCGACGATGACGTTGTATACGTAGACAAGGATGTAGAACAGAGTCTGACATGAGCGAACGAAGAGCGAAGGGTCTGCAGAGGACGGGAAGAACTGCAGGTTAGCTAGCGTAACACGCAGCGTGTTGTGCCACACTCGGGGCGCCTGCCGCATGCCGTAAACTGGGTGCCAGATGAGCCATTGGGCCCCAGGGGCGAAGGTGGCGGTGAAGCCTAGAGGGCAGCATAGGTAGACCTGCTCGTGCAGACTGCTCTGAAGAAACGCTGTCGAGAAGTCGAGAGAGTACAGCTCGTAGCCACGTTGTACTGCTACGTGTAACAGCGCCCGAAGAGTAGTCACGTTCGGGGTTGGGGCGATGGTGAAGAAGAAGTCAACCCCCTGACGTTTACTGAAGCCATTCGCAACGTAGCGCGCCTTGAACACCGGCGGTTCTCCATGCGGGCGCTGCATCTTGAAGAGCCACCGGCCATCGACTACGTTCACCCCAGGTGGGGGAACTGCATTGACGTAGGTGCCGGTGGATCTCCAAGATGCCATCTCTGCGTCCATGGCAGCTATCCACTGAGAGGCCTAGGGTCCTGAGGTCCCCTCAGCGTAAGTGCAAGGGGTCGGGATGTCGAAGGCGTCTGGGTCACCCTCAGGGACTAGCAGCATGGAGCAGAGATGATGCGCGACCTCGGACTGGAAAGCAAGCTCGTACTGCTGGTCCTCCAGGACGTCACTGCCAAGAGCAGCAGCAACCCCAACAGACGGAGGAAGGGCAAGGTCAGAGACCAGAGCGGTGGCGTAGTCAAGGCGGTGGGTAGACGTAAAGTCAGTAACGGCAGCGACAAGACCGTCAAGACTGGAGACAACGGACGGGTCGGTAACGAGGGAGGTGAGGACCCGAGAAAAAAGAGGGCTAGCGGCACAGAGAAATTCAGACAGAGGAGGCGGAGCGACAACAAGCGACGACGGAGGAGGCAAACGGAGGAGGGGAGGACGAGACGCAAAGGAATGGAGAAATATATGGTGAGAACGCTGAACTGGAGAGACAGGACGAGCACGAGAGGAACGGCGAGTCCAGAAGTGGGACGGATGCATCAGGTCAAGAGACACAGGATGAGACACAGGAGGAGAACGAGTGGGGAAACGAGTCGAAGACGAGTCCGGCAGAGGAAACATAGGGCCATAGATGGACAAAGGAGGCAGCGGCGGAGGAGGTGCAGGCTGGCGGTCGGGGGAAGGAAGACCGAGGAGGCGAAGGGCGGACACCGGCAGCGACTGCTACTGCGGCTGCTCCACGCCGACACCAGAACCTCCAGCTACACCACGGCTGCCTTTGGGACGATCAACGCCAACACCCCCAGAACGAGAAACCTCTCCAGCACCTGTGCCACCCCCAGGACCCCCGGGACAAGCCACGACAGTAACCTCAGGACTAGCACCCCCAGAACCAGCACCCCGAGAACGAGAACCCTCTCTAGCACTGGTGCCACCCTCAGGACCGCCAGGACAAGCCACAACAGTAACCCTAGGACTAGCACCCTGCTCAACGCCCGCACCCCCAGAGCTCGTGGACCCCTGTGGCGACTGTGTCATGAGCGCAGTGTGGTCGCGGAAGAAGCAGGCCGACGAACCAGAGTCGAGCGTGCAAGAGAGCGAAGCAGTGGCGGCAGCCGGCGGAGGGGCTAGCGTGGAGCCTAGGCTAAACAAGGCAGACGGT